GTTCGTATGGAAAGTCACCTTGCCCACATCCAGCCCATCGACGGGGACCGAAGGCGCACCCCAGCGAGCCGGTATTGCCGAGAGCCTTCTGGCCACTTCGACCAGGTCGTGGTCACCCGGCTCCGTAATCACGCACCACCACCGAAGTCCACTATCTTCCCCAGGCGTCACAGCTCGGGCTAGGACATATCCTCCAGAGTGCGGAACGCGCACTCTTAAAGACGTCAAAACCACAGGTTGAGCGAAGAGGACCTCGAAAGCACCTTGACGCACCGCACTGTGCTCTCCAAGCATGGATTCCTCGGGCCATGACGCCTCCAAAGCCTGAGTCTGATGTAGCAACCAGTCAAGGTCCCCCTCCCCAGCCGACCAGCTCTGCTTCTGGAAGGCCTCGGATGGTCTCGGCGGCAACGGTGATGGTACCGGTGATCTGCCTTGCTCGCCATAAGGCTTCACAAGCGCCAATACGGTCTGAAGGAGACCGTTCTCGTCCACCGGACCAGAATGCAGAGACGCCGGCACAAACCCGCAGACTGGGGGCGACCGGTCTCCACGGAAGCACCAGGGCCCGCCCGACAGAGAGTCACAGATGACGTTGCTGTCGGCATTCGAAGCATTTGGCTTGAGGGAGTCCAGATGCACTAGGACTCGGGAGCGTGCCATTTCGGTAAGGTCCTCAACATGCATACCAATGCCAAGGGCAGCATCACAAAATGTGATGAACAGCGATGATAGGATGATGGTCGATATCATTTTACGAAACATCTACAGTATGCGTCATCCAGAAATGCGCAAACTTGGCGGACGATTTTCTAGACAACCAGAAAACCCCAGTTACCCATGTTGGGAGGATATCTTGACGCAGACAACCTCTTGTCTAAGCGGCAGCAGTATTTCCCTCGCAGGAAAATTTCGGGAATATTAACCTCTCAAAAGCTGGAAAAAATTCGGCACCGTTTTTCCGACCCACAACAAAATGTTATAACGGTGGAGCGGGAAGGGTTTTGCGCCTCAATCGAATGTAAACCTCTGTCACCCTCCCCCTCCACTTGAGCCCTATCACTATCGACTATCCAGATCATTGCATGAAATAAACCCTTTAATGCTCTTCGGATGCGAGAAGCTGCCAAAGTTTCCCTCAAGAAACGCAGACGGAAAAGTGCATGCATTCCTAGACATCGGCTAACACCTTGTAGAGCAACCCAGAAAGCAAGACGATCCCGGGCTAACACTGCTTGCACTCATCAGGTACTATACTATAATGTTCAACCCAAAATGGCGAGAGCGGTATGAAATACAACTGTCCACCTTAACAACACGACACCTTTAACCAGTTTGAACTGTGCTTCCCCACTGCTCAATATCTAGCTCTCTTATATGGCCTTTCTTCACCACCACCTCCTTCAGAGTAATACTGTCGACCACCTTGCTGATACGGCGGGTAACCACCTAACAAACGCCAATTGCCTACCATACAAAGATCTCAATGGAGATACAACGCTTTGGATTCGAAATCTAAGTCCATCATCCTCTTCCTAGAATTCACGATAGCCTAGAGCCGACATGAGCAAAGGCCTCACGTACCATTTATTGAGGCATAGATGTGATGCTTTGATGACTCAAATAGTTCAACTAGGGTAATTTGCCCAGCTTGCCAAAGGCCCCGAGATCTTTTGCAAAGCATGCTCCTAGTAAATCCAGAGTTTCTGGATACACGAAGGACAACTGCAGCATATTCCCACTAGAATGATCCCCAATCACCGAGCACTCTCCTTCTATGGTATATCACATTCCTATCCGACTCCCCTCTCACCTTTCCCTCCACTCCTTGGTCCACCATATGATGCCCGCCGGAATCCTCCACCTTTACGCTGACCAAAATAGAAATCATTTGACCTAGTAAAAATCTTCATAGTGCGTTCCATCCATATCCATCGCATACCGCGTTTCCCTATCTCTTTTGCCGACAAACAACTGATTCCCGTCGCCACTTTCCAGTGCCTTCAGCAGGCCTCTTCCCTGACCACCTACATGGAATCTACGCTACTATTACATTATCCCTTCACACTGAGAATAACTGTGAGATCGTCTCCATATTATAATAGCCCACTTGTGTCGGCACGGAAGAGACAACACTCTCACACAGTTTCAATTTACGTTTGTACCATTAAAGAAGGCTATTCCTTACAATGACTCGACGCTAAGATTTTCATGCTCTATTTAGAGAGCAGGCAACAGAGAGATATTCCAACAATGCCTTTGAACTACAGTACATCTCATCAGTCACATACCTCTGGAAGGGTCGAAATCATCACGGAAATCATCTCGCCATTGGTCTCCCGTCTGCCCCCTTCCAAACTGCCTCCCTGCCGACACACCGCTATCCCAGTCCACTCGGATGACCTAGAAAAGAAGCAAACGTCAAGCAGTTGGACAGAGGGAGAGTTATTGTGCAGAGTTACGAGTGGAATACAACTGGTCATTGGAAAGGCGACTTCATTATCAGTCTGGCCAGAATTGCCCTGTGTTATCGAGGTTAAAGAGGGCGATGGTCCGCTGTGTGGTGAAGATACCACAAGCAAGCTACTCAACCTGGTACACCGCGTGCCATCTATTATGAAGGGATTTAGTCAAGCCAAATGTGTGTATTCCTTTTCGCAATTTGATCGGCAAAAGCTCCACCTTCCCGAGTCACTAATATCTCCCTAGACACATGACAACCGATCCCTTTCCCTCCGTGCCAAAGCTTTTTATATTCCTCTGTGGCCTCTAGTAACCGACACAAAGTAGACAGCCCTGATCATTACCCTATCATCAAATGTTGATGTATTCAATAGATTCTGTGCCCATGCCGCGTCATCTCTGGTATCATACTCGACAAAGCAGAATCCACAAGGGGACTTCTTAAATCGATTCAACCCCATTGTAACCTAGATACCACTAGACAGCTTTTCCCGCGCGCCCCAAAACTACCTTCTTGACCTTCCCGCACTTTGAGAACAACTCTAAGATCTGCTCTTCCTGAAAATGACCAACTATTCCTCTCGCCTTGACTCATCGCCAGATGGCAACATATAGAGCCATACAAAGACAGAAACCCCGAACAAACGTTTCTGGTTGCGACAAGTACACATTATTGTTCGAGTTATCACATTCGGCATTCAGACAGAAGTCCGATGAGTCGGGGTGCGGCCTCGGAATTAACGCCATACTCTGCTCGGGTATCACCGCTAATAGCGTAACTTATGCTGCTGCACCGCACTCTATATGAAGCTATTCAACAGTTTATACTATGAAATGGTGTAAAGTACTATAAGCTTTATAGCACTATATATTCCCTTTACACCATTCACCCTCCTTCCCATTATTACTGTCGTATAGAAGCTAAGATTTCCAACGTAAAGGGTAGTTGACGTCTGTAAACTGTTGAACCATTCCTCTCGAGTCAGTCCTGACTTCTTATCATAGTACTTAGTACTTGGCGTGAGATCGACAAAGAGATGCGCCATCGGCAAAAAGTCAACTACCACCTCAAACCGCAGAACGCAATAGCACTGTTGACTTAATAGAAAGCACTCGAGTAGAATCATCAGCCACGCCAACAAGGGGACTTAAGTTTCAAAAATGCTTTGATGGCAACCTTTGAGACGTAAGTCCACCGCTCTTCTTCTAGGGACCGGTTGATCTCCGAAATGGGTATCTATGAGCATTAAATGATATTAAGGGTGATATTGACAGGCCAATAGCATCTGGTGAAGGAAGGACTACAGGTCCATCATGAGCCTCCCAGTTGCCTTTGCCGAATCTTTGCGTGTACTTGTATTTCTATATGTGCATTTACATTTCAGAGACAATGAGACATTGGATATTAGCAATTGGATAATTTGGATATGCATTGCTTGGTAAATCTGCCCTTTCATGGCCACGAGTAAATCCCTCAGCGCTTCTATACACTGTGTATACCGTGAATGCCCAATAATCACTACCGCCCGAATCCTGCTATGCTCCCAGTTATCAACTGCTTCATTCTTCACTCCTGCCAAGACACCCGAAGACTTCATCGACCCCAGATCAATTACGAAAACAAGCTCAGGTTTGTACGCTTGTTCCCTGCCAGTGTTGAACAAACCTATGAACACAGCCCATCTACCCTACCGACGGGCATTTGGCTTCCTTACCAAGCAAACGAACGTCAAGTGGATCCCCTGGAATACCTAGCTCTTCCAACATCTCTTTTTTTATAACAGCCACAGGATCATCGATATCTATTGTACCTGTCAGTTTAATCCCTACTATAGCGGGATACTGTATATAATTATCATTCTACCAGCGGGGGTAAGATGCCACATATTGGGACAGCAGGCCACTTTAGAGGACCTCCTTCCCGCCATGATAGCCGTGCCGTTGTCAACTAGGGTGATGCTGCAGCACCCGAAAGGATTTAGTTTTTCTGGTATTTCCAGAGCTCGAGGAGAAAAATGAAGGTACCTGGAGATAAGGGAGATGCCCATCTAATAATGCAGTAAGGATTTATTGCATTACAGCTGATAGCGATACCACGACCGCTGCAAGTCAACTTGGAGCTTATTGGGCCCCACAGATCGCCATTGGCGGACTCCCCAAACGCGGCCATCGAAGGTTTTCGGGTTCGAGGGAACGATAACATTATCCCAATAGTCCTGAGTATCTACAACATAGAGAAGTAGTTGATGTCCAGAGGATATGAAAGGCAGCAAGAGTCAGGTGGTGTCTTACTTTGTACGGTTTCATCGGTGAATTTAACTTCTCCAGGTAGTTGATGAATTTGAATAGCATCAGAGGCGAGAGGAAGAGGTGTCTCCGGCATCCAATAGACACCATCAGTCAGATCAGACGATGATGATGATGATGAAGTTGACATTATTATTCGTAAAACACTGACTGCTCATATACCATATATCCAATAGTCCGCAAGTCTCCAATGCCGAGACGGAAACGCACGAAAATGCGCGTTTAGCGAATAGTCCCGGCGGGGGTCGAACCCGCGGCCTACGGCTCATAAGACCGTCGCTCTAACCACTGAGCTACAGGACCGCTCGATAACATACGGCTCAGATTCCTTTGGCTTTTCTTAAACTGATTAAACTACGAAGTTACTCCTTATTCCGCACACCGTCACTGGACAAATGTTCCTCTGCGCTGTCCAATTTGCACTTTGCCTCGCTGCAGTTTTGTGTTGCCCCTTGCCTAATACTGCGGTCGGCGCTGCCACGACTGGCCGACTCGTTTCATCGCAGAGTCTCTACAAAACTAACTGCATCATCTATCTCGCTCTTGGATAGAGCTCAGCCACTGATAGACACCCCCGGACTACTGGGAATATCTCAAGGACGCATTATGAGTACCGCAGCTGCCACGAAAGTATGTCGGTAGAGATCGTTGAGTCGTTCATTTGATTCTAGAAGACATTCTGGAACAAAGTATTCCATAAACGTTGGTTCATTCGGTAGGGTGCCACTTCTGCATTGGACGCTACAGGGGAAATTCAAGGACTGTTCAATAAAAATACTTATACTGGATGAGTGGTAAAATACTCATAGTCATGGGAACGGTGAGATGGCGTTAGTTCTGCTGTCACTAGCCGTTTCGGTAGTAGCAGTACACCGCCATAGCTTCCTATTATTGGCCCAATACTGCTGGCAAAGCTTTTCCCATCGTATCTGCCTCAGACCTCATCACCGATGGTGATCTCCGAAGACGGTGAGAATGTGGTGATACTAATGAGAGTTAACGGGAAAAGGCTTACCTTCAATCGTAACCCTTCCGACACTATGGACCAGGTGAGAGAGGTAGGAGGGCCTGAGACGGCACACTGAGCTCTGTAAGGTCCTAAGGCGGATGCAGCTCAGTGTAGAGAAGGCGTACGGTATTGGTGATAACCGTAAAGGTAAGAAAAGAAAAGGTGCTCCATCGACAGATGAACAACAACAGGAGCATGATAAGAAGGTAAGGATGATCTAATCGAGGGGTTCGGAAAGTTGTGACCGACTAGGTGATGATTCGATGGTCCGATGGCGAGGGAAAGGAGCTCGCATCAACCGATGGCGCAACTAATATGTGCACCTTGGCAGAGCTTAGTCGTTCTACTAAGGCAATTACTGTCAACGATCACGTAGAAGATCATTTCCAGTTCACTGTATACAAGGCTGATTAGGTATACTCTGTCTTTCTCAACCCGCCTATGGTCAAGTCGGTAGCGCTGAAATATTTCCTTTTTGCAGAGTATCCAGTCATACCTCTGGTAGAATGCAGCAACACAACTCCTGATGAGCTGGTGTATGAATACAGAACTGCTGACTCAGAGGACATTGTCCACTCCGGCAGAATATTCACTCCCAATGACGATCTGGTTGGGAAGAAGCTGCGAGTGACAGCCTATCACAACCAATGCCGAGACTTGCCGCAGGCCGAGTCCGATGCAAGCAAGGCCATCCGCGCCTCCCCGAGCAAGGGAACGTTCCGTGATCGTCGGCTCCCTCACCCTTTGGCGATCACTCCCCCAAATCGCATTAGAGTTGCCAGTTTCAACGTGCTTGCTCAGCGGTATGTTAGAACGCCTCTGGCAACTAAAGTGATGTACCAGAATGTTAAGAACTGCCGAGAAGTCCTCGAATGGGAGTATCGATGTCCACTACTGATGAGGGAGCTGATGGACGTAAAGGCAGACATCTTCTCATTCCAAGAGGCTGAACCGAGATTCGTTGAGACCGTTCATGAGGTGACGCCCGAGTACACTGTTCGGTACGTCGAGAAGAGCGGCCATAAGGGCGAAGGCTGCGCCATCGCCTACAGAAATGATCGCTTTGAAATGCTTGATGAGACTACATTGGACTTGGCATCCGATGGAATTAAATCTGAGCTCAGCGAGGTGCAACTTGCCGAACTCCAAAAGAAGTGGGGGGACGTCAACCTGTTTAATGACGTCTTTGACAACCTCGGCACCGTTGGCCAGGTCGTTGTGCTACGCGACCGATGCGATACGAATAAGATATTTGTCGTTGGTAACACACATTTGTTCTTCCATCGAAACGCGGCTCATGTTAGACTGTTGCAAGCTCATATGTTGGCCATGGCAGTGAAGCATGAACTGGATAGGTTTCAAGGGGCGAACGCCTTCATCTGTGGCGACTTCAACTCCTTCCCTGACAGCGGTGTGGTCGAATACCTGAGCTCTGGCGAGGCACCGGCGAACCACAAGGACTGGTTTTATGGTCCTCAATTTAAATGGGACTCCCAGGATTGTGCAGACCTAGACGAGGCCGTGGATGAATCGGCGTACCATGACGTGTTGGTGGATGAACCGGAATGGGGGGAAGGCGATGAGCTGTTTGGACTGGCGGGGGAAGTTAAGCGAATGAAGCCTGAGAAGGTTGATATGAATCTGGGCATTGAGCTGCATCACGGTATAGATGGCTTACAGCATACAGAGTTGCCGCAGTACACTAACGCCGTTTGCAACTTCAAGTGAGGCGAATGCGTCATGAAAGTAGATTTGAATATTTCCTCTTTTCAGAGCCGTGCTGGACTACATTTTCTACACGCCCCATCTCACTCCTACATGGACCCTTCCCGGCCTCACTGATGATGACATCAAAGCCTGCAATGGCGGCTTGCCGTACAAGTGTTACGGTAGCGATCACGTTATGATTGCGACAGAGTTTGAAGTGTCGAATTGAATAAGCCATCATTTGCTGAGTGTTTCCGTAGACCGCACTAGTTGTGTAGCCAGTAGTACTTCGGGCAGTCATAACGAAACGACAGAGACATGGGCTGATACCGGAACGGGAAAGCCTAGGTGGAGTGTACCACATATCAATGGGCAACAACAATCTTAGACAGTTCTCTGATCGGTGTAGCTGTGGAAACTAAAGGAGGCCGGGGGCTAGTCGATCGAACCACGATCTAGTTAAGGCTACACTTAATCGCGAAGGGGAAGCGAGTCGGCTCGGTGAGAATGATTAACTTGACTCCTGTCTGTAATATATTGCTCTCAAATGGCCGAAGGAGAGTGCACTATTTCCTGAAGCGATGGTTGCGAAGCTTCCTATCGGCGAACGATCGTATCTTCATGATCATACTAGACTCAACATTAGTGCGGTTAGTGCTCGAACGATGCGGTTGATAGTGGTAGACAGACTTTTTGTTAATATGTTTTGTACGGACAAAGTATATCGAGATTTAAGCACAAAGGCGAGAATAAAGGATACTATAGGACTTGCCAGGTCAGGGCACAAAGTTGGACGCTGGGTTGCTAAATGCCTCATTAATGCTTCTTGAATTTAATGCCAAGAGCTTCAATCCAATCTGAACCATGGGAGAGGCCCGACCAGTCGTCGATGTCCGTGCAGAGCAGCCTAGCAAACGTCTGCAGCTCAGCATTGCCTTTGTCAAGATTGAGAGAATGCCAAGGCCAGCCACCTCTGGAATACTCCACATTGTGCCATGAAAACTCATAATCAGAAGCAAACAGACGAGTGGCAAATATACTCACAGTACCAGTTCTACCATCTTCGTCAGATCTGGTCACGTTCCAACGCATATACAAGTCATCATTGTAGCCAGTGTAAAGACCAGTTTCTGGCATATTACAAGATCTTACAAGATAAGCGGCCCAGATGGCCGTAACGTATACCCTGTAGATGACGCTTCTGCTCAATAGGGACATGGGTTGGACTTTACTAAAGAACTGAGAATAACAATTAATGCTCGACGGTGGCATACGATGGTACGATGGCAAATCGAGGAATTGCTATGATTGCGGAAGGGTCGCTGCCATCTCGATATTTACGACTGTCAGTAATTAGCACGCCAGTTGTTGAAACTTTACTGCAGTTACTATATTGGTTACGAATTACTACTACTTGTCACTGGTGCAAGAGTGACAAAAATAAGGGATCGGAGTGTCCGATCCGGATACCCTGCCTAACGGGTGAAGCTTAAAGAAGTTCTAGAATACTCTGCGCCATATGGACTGTAAGGCATCTGGTGGATGGAAGTACAATAAGGTAGCCGCATTGCAGACTGCAATTTTCAGTGGCAACTTAGGTTAAATGTACGTTCGTTCATAAGGAGTGTACGGGAACGTGAGATTGCCACTATAACCATGTTATACACTTCAGGGGCCCGCTGGAACTCACTCATGCAATAGATGTTACCCTGGTAGGGAAGAGACCTTAGCTCTGTGACGTGACACGTACAGGACTCTGGATCTATAAAACAATTCGATACGTTGAAACTTCAGCTTATTAACAGAACGCAACACGATTCATGCGTTGAAGTATTCATCTTGGCTACACCAGAACTTCAACAGAGCAGCTCGTGTTACATGAGCCCAGGCAGCCTGGGATGTATTCCATTGTCACCGGGACACTATATAACTGTCGCCGTGACACCGACAGCGGTGTCTTCGTAATCATTTCAAGTCTTGCGACTCGTGGGAATTTCCATGTGAAATTTTACCTCATGAAATTGACATTGTTAGTTTGGCAACCCTAACGCACTCAAGCACGACACCTGGGGAATACAAGCACTCCCAGGATTCTAATCGCAGCTACGCAAGTCTAGCACCGCCAGGGTATCACGGTGCCGTGATACCGCACCGCCTTCGCTACCCTAAGTTTTCTGAGACAATCGGCACTTGCAAAGTTCGGTCAAACGCACCTTCGAGTTGGTGATTGATTTCAGCTCTGGTTTATTAAGCACCTCTGCGTTGATTTATGGGTATACGGATTTCGGACGTCCTCTATCTCCTTCAACAGCTATCCCCTCTTTTCTGGGCTGCCGATTTGTATAGAATTCCTATTTCCCGTGAGGACGTGTTTCCGGGTGATACATGGGGGCAGCTCGTAGCCCCGATTAAGGTCGGTAACTACGACACCTACGCCCTTATCGATACTGGAACGCCACTCCTTTTCTTCATCTGGAGGCATTGGTTCGAAGGTGTTCAGCCCGGCGGTTGCAAGTTGTACGTTTTTGGCTGCTATGAATGTTCCCCTGATGTTTGCACCAAAGGCGATGAAACTACCTTCAAGTAT